CAGTCTCTCAGACCACAGTGCAATCAAGTTAGAACTCAGAATTCAAAAACTAACCCAGAACTGCACAGCTTCATGGAAACTGAACAACTTGCGCTTGAATGTTGACTGGATAAACAATGAAATGAAGACAGAAATGAAGATGTTCTTCGAAACCAGCAAGAATGAAGACACAACATACCAGAATCTCTGGGACACATTTAAAGCAGTCTCTAGAGGAAAATATATAGCAATAAGTGCCCACATGAGAAGCAAGGAGAGATCAAAAATTGACACCCTATCGTCAAAACTGAAAGAGCTAGAGGAGCAAGATCAAAAAAACTCAAAGTCTAGCAGAAGACAAGAAATAGCTACGATCAGAGCAGAACTGAAGGAGATAAAGACACAAAAAACCCTTCAAAAAATCAATAAATCCAGGAGCTGGTTTTTTGAAAAGATCAACAAAATAGACAGACCACTAGCCAGATTAATAAAAAAGAAAGGAGAGAATAACCAAATTGATGTAATAAAAAACGATCAAGGGGATATCACCACAGATTCCACAGAAATTCAAACCATCATCAGAGATTATTACAAACAACTCTATGCATATAAACTAATAAATCTGGAAGAAATGGATAAATTCCTGGACACTTGCCTCCTCCCAAGCCTAAACCAGGAAGAAGCCAAAACCCTGAACAGACCCATAACAAGGTCCGAAGTTGAGGCAGCAATTAAGAGCTTACCACCCAAAAAAAGCCCAGGTCCAGACGGGTTCACAGCCGAATTCTACCAGACATACAAACAGGAGCTGGTACCATTCCTTCTGAAACTATTCCAAACAATACAAAAAGAGGGAATTCTTCCCAAATCATTTTATGAGACCAACATCATCCTGATTCCAAAACCCGGCAGAGACTCAACAAGAAAAGAAAACTTCAGGCCAATATCCATGATGAACATAGATGTAAAAATCTTCAATAAAATACTGACAAGCCGATTGCAACAGCACATCAAAAAGCTTATCCACCATGATCAAATGGGCTTCATCCCAGGGATGCAAGGCTGGTTCAACATACCCAAGTCTATAAATGTAATTCACCACATAAACAGAACCAAAGACAAAAACCACATGATGATCTCAATTGATGCAGAGAAGGCCTTTGACAAAATTCAACAGCCCATTATGCTAAAAACCCTCAATAAGCTAGGTATTGATGGAACGTATCTGAAAATAATAAAAGCTATTTATGACAAACCAACAGCCAATATCATACTGAATGGGCAAAAACTAGAAGCATTCCCCTTGAAATGTGGCACCAGACAAGGATGCCCTCTCTCACCACTGCTATTCAATATAGTATTTGAAGTTCTAGCCAGAGCAATCAGGCAAGAAAAAGAAATAAAGGGCATTCAAATGGGAAAGGAGGAAGTCAAATTGTCTCTATTTGCAGATGACATGATTGTATATCTAGAAGACTGCATCGTCTCAGCCCCAAATCTCCTGAAACTGATAAGCAAGTTCAGCAAAGTCTCAGGATACAAAATCAATGTGCAAAAATCACATGCATTCCTATACACCAATAACAGACTTAAAGAGAGCCAAATCAGGAACAAACTGCCATTCACAATTGCCACAAAGAGAATAAAATACCTAGGAATACAACTAACAAGGAATGTAAAGGACCTCTTCAAGGAGAACTACAAGCCACTGCTCAACGACATAAGAGAGGACACAAACAGATGGAGAAACATTCCATGTTCATGGTTAGGAAGAATCAATATCGTGAAAATGGCCATACTGCCCAAAGTAATTTACAGATTCAATGCTATCCCCATCAAGCTACCAATGACCTTCTTCATTGGTAAGAACTGGAAAAAACCACCTTAAACTTCATATGGAACCAAAAGAGAGCCCGCATAGCCAAGTCAATTCTAAGCAAAAAGAACAAAGTGGGAGGCATCACACTACCGGACTTCAAACTATACTACAGGGCTACAGTAATCAAAATAGCATGGTACTGGTACCAAAACAGAGATATAGACCAATGGAACAGAACAGAGGTCTCGGAGGCAACACAACATATCTACAACCATCTGATCTTTGACAAACCAGACAAAAACAAGGACTGGGGAAAGGATTCCCTGTTCAATAAATGCTGTTGGGAAAGCTGGCTAGCCATGTGCAGAAAGCAGAAACTGGACCCCTTCCTGACACCTTACACTGAAATTAACTCCAGATGGATTAAAGACTTAAACATAAGACCTAATACCATAAAAACCCTAGAAGAAAATCTAGGCAAAACCATTCAGGACATAGGTGTAGGCAAGGACTTCATGACCAAAACATCAAAAGCATTGACAACAAAAACCAAAATAGACAAATTGGATCTAATCAAACTTCACAGCTTCTGCACAGCAAAAGAAACAGTCATTAGAGTGAATTGGCAACCAACAGAATGGGAAAAAATTTTTGCCGTTTACCCATCTGACAAAGGGCTGATATCCAGAATTTACAAAGAACTAAAACAGATTTACAAGAAAAAAACTAACAACCCATTCAAAAGTGGGCAAAGGATATGAACAGACACTTTACAAAAGAAGACATACGTGAGGCCAACAAACATATGAATAAATGCTCATCATCACTGGTCATCAGAGAAATGCAAATCAAAACAACATTGAGATACCATCTCATGCCATTTAGAATGGCGATCATTAAAAAATCTAGAGACAACAGATGCTGGAGAGGATGTGGAGAAATAGGAACACTTTTGCACTGTTGGTGGGAGTGTAAATTAGTTCAACCATTGTGGAAGACAGTGTGGCGATTCCTCAAGGACCTAGAAATAGAAATTCCATTTGACCCAGCAATCCCATTACTGGGTATATATCCAAAGGATTACAAATCGTTCTACTATAAGGACACGTGCACACGAATGTTCATTGCAGCACTGTTTACAATAGCAAAGATCTGGAACCAACCCAAATGCCCATCGACGATAGATTGGATAGGGAAAATGTGGCACATATACACCATGGAATATTATGCAGCCATCAAAAATGATGAGTTTGGGTCCTTTGTGGGGACATGGATGAACCTGGAGGCCATCATTCTCAGCAAACTGACAGAAGAGCAGAAGATCAAATGCCGCATGTTCTCACTCATAGGCGGGTGTTGAACAATGAGAACACATGGACACAGGGAGGGGAGCACTACACACTGGGGTCAGTTGGGGGGAAATAGGGGAGGGACAGTGGGGGGTGGGGAGCTGGGGAGAGAGAGCAAGGGGAGAAATGCCAGATGTAGGTGATGGGGAGGAAGGCAGCAAATCACACTGCCACGTGTGTTCCTATGCAACAATTTTGCATGTTCTTCACATGTACCCCAAAACCTAAAATGCAATAAAATAAATAAATGGAAAAAAAAGAAGAAATGCTACTTAATTTTGTACATTTATTTTGTATTCTCAAACTTTGCTGAAGTTATTTATCAGTTCTAGGAGACTTTCGGCACAGACTGTGGCGTTTTCTAGGTATAGTATCATACATCTCTGAAGAGAGAGAATTTGACTTTTTCTCTTATTATTTGGATGCCTTTTATTTATTTTTTTTTCTTTTGCCTGGCTGCTCTGGCTAGTACATCCGGCACTATATTGAATAGGAGTGGTGAGAATGGGTATCCTTTTCTTCTGGTTCTCAAGGGACATGCTTCCAGCTTCTTCCCATTCTATATGATGTTGGCTATAGGTTTGTCATAGATGTTCTTATTATTTTGATATATGTTCCTTCAATTTCTAGTTTGTTGAGAGTTTTTATCATGAAGCTATACTGGATTTTATCAAAAGCTTTTTCTCCATTTATTGAGATCATCACATGGTTTTTGTTTTTAATTCTGTTTATATGGTGAATCACATGGATTTATTTGTGTATGTTGAACTAACCATGGATCCAAGGAATACAGCCTACTTTATTGCATAAATTTACTTTTAAAAAATAATTTAACCTTTAACATCAGGGGTACAGGTGCAGGTTTGCTATAGGGAAACTGGTGTCATGGGAGTTTGCTGTATAGAGTATTTTGTCACCCAGTTATTAAGCCTAGTACCCATCAGTTATTTTTTTCTCATCCTCTCTATTCTTCCACCCAGCACCCTCCACCTGCCGATAGGCCCCATTGTATGTTGTTCCCTTCTATGTGTCCATGTGTTCTCAACATTCAGCTCCCACTTATGAGAACATGTGGTATATGGTTTTGTGTTCCTACATTAGTTTGCTAAGAATAATAGCATCCAGTTCTTCATGATCCTGCAAAGACACGATCATATTCTTTTTATGGTTGAATAGTATTGCATGACGTATATTACTACAAAGAATGACCAGGCTACCATCGATGGGCATTTAGGTTGATTTGATATTGTTGCTGTTGTGAATAGTGCTGCAATGAACATACACATGCATGTGTCTTTACAGTAGAACCACAATGAGATACTGCCTCCCACCAGTTGGAATGGCTATTATTAAAAAGTCAAAAAATAACATACTAATGAGGTGGTAGAGAAAAAGAATGCTTATACACTGTTTTGGGGACCGTATATTAGTTGAACCATTGTAGAAGACAGTGTGACAAGTCCCCAAAGAACTACAGACAGAAATACCGTTCAACCACAATACCCATTACTGGGTATATACCCAAAGGAGCGTAAATCATTCTAAGGACACATGTATGTATGCCTATGCTCACTGCAGCACTATTTACAATATCAAAGACATGGAATCAACCTAAATGCCTATTAATGATAGACTGGATAAATAAAATGTGGTACATTTTCATCATGAAATACTGTGCAGCCATAGAAAAGAATGAGATCATGCCCTTTGCAGGGACATGGATGGAGCTACAGGCCATTATCCTTAGCAAGCTAACACCAGAACAAAAAAATGAAATACTGCAGTTCTCCGTTATAACTGGGAGACAAATGATAACATATGGACACATAGAAGGAAACCATACACATTGGGGCCTATTGGAGGGTGGAGGCTCGGAGGAGGGAGAGGGTACTAGCTTTTATACCTGGGTGATGAATTAATCTGCACAACAAACCCCCATGACACACATTTACCTATGTAACAAACCTGCATATGTAGCCCTGAACTTAAAATAAAAGTTAAAAAAAAGAAAGAAAAAATTCTGCCAATCTCTGACTTTTAATTAGAGTTTTTAATCTATTTACATTTATTTAAATAGTAAGTTGAGATTCATGTCTGCTGTTCTGCTATTTGTTTTTTATGTGATTTATGTCTATTTTGACCTTCTATATCTTTCTTTATTTTACATTAAATAGATATTTTCTAGTGTAGCATTTAGACATACTTGTTAATTCTTTGTATATTTTTGAGCTGTTTTCTTAGTGGTTATTCTGGAGATGATAATCAACATTTTACCTTATATCTATCTTATTCAGATTATGTAATTTCTGTAGTGTAAAAAATTGTTCCTATATAGCTCCATCTCTATATTTCCATGCTGTTATTGTAGTTCAAATTATATCTTGTGTACCCTTTAGCACAAATTCATATTGATTGCTTTATTCAGCATATTTCAAATAAGATAGGAAAAAAAGTTTATAAGCATAAGATACATTTATACCACGTTTTATATTTGCCTATGTAGTTACTTTTACCTGTATAACATATTTCTTCATATGGTTTTATATTAGGTATTAGAATGTTGAATAAGACTCTGATATTTCAATATAATAATTTAATATTATATATGTAATATATAATATACATCTTTATATTGCTCTGAGTACTGTTTTTGCTGCTTCCCTCAAAGTTTGATATACTTCATTTTCACTTTTATTTAGTTCAAGATATTTACTAATTTATCTTATAATTTTTGTTTGATGGCTGGATTATATACAGTTGTGTTATTTATTTTCTAAGTTATTTGGAGTTTTTTACTCTCTTGTTAGGGTGCTTTGAATTACAAATTTTTAAATTTTTGAGGTGTCCAAATTACTTTTTTTAATGTTATCTGAGCTTTCAGTGTCATGTCCAAGAAATCATTGCCAAATTCATAGTCATGAAAGTTTTCTTCTAATGGTTTTATAGTTTTATGTCTAATGTTTATGTCTTTGATCTATTTTGAGTTAATTTTTGTATAGGATATAAAGTAAGAATTTAACTTTTCACCTTTGCCTATGGATATCTAGTTTTTCCAAAATCATCTATAAGAAGACTGCATTTTCTTTATCTTATGGTATTGGCACCTTTACCGAAAATCATTTGACCTGTTAGGGTTTATTTCCAGGCTGACTTTTTATTCTATTCCATTAATCTATGACTTTCTTTATGCCAATATTAGTCTGTTTTGATTAATGTAAGTTTGTAATTATTTTTTTTAAGTTTTATTTTGTTTTTACCTGACATGAAATCGTTTTACATATTTGTGGGCATATAATGTGATGTTTTGATATATATTTGTGTAATCATAAAATTGTAATAACTTTTTTTTTTTGAGATGGAGTTTTGCCCTTTCACCTAGGCTGTTATGCAGTGGTGTGATCTCGGCTCACTGCAACCTCTGCCTTCCAGTTCCAAGCAGTTGTCCTGCCTCAGCCTCCCGAGTAGCTGAGATTACAGGCACCCCTCACCACGCCTGGCTTGTTTTTGTATTTTTAGTAGAGACAGGGTTTTACCATGTAGGACAGGCTGGTCTCAAACTCCTGACTTCGTGATCCACCTGCCTCGGACTCCTGAAGTGCTAGGATTATAGGTGTGAGCCACCACATCTGGCCTGGCATAATATTTTTAAATCAAGAAATGTGATCCTTCAACTTCATTCTTCTTTTTCAAGAATGTTTTGGTTATTTGGGGTCCCTTATGATTCTATATGAATTTTAGGATAGGTTTTCTATTTTTGCAAGAACATTATTGGGATTTTAATAAAGGTTACATTGAATCTGTAGATTCCTTTGTGTGTCATTGTCCTCGTAAGAAAATTAAATCTTCCAATCTATGATAACAGAATGTGTTTTCATTTATTTGTGCCTTCCTTAATTTATTTCTGTGATGTTTTATTGTTTCAGTGTACAAATCTTTGCTAATCTTTTCAGTTCATATATACCTGTATTGAATTTTTATTGATTAGTTAAGGCTACCTTTTTTTTTTAAATGGAATTTCACTTTTGTTACCCATGCTGGAATGCAATGGCACAATCTTGGCTCACAGCAACCTGCCTCCTGGGTTCAAGTGATTCTACTGCCTCAGCCTCCCAAGTAGCTGGGATTATAGGCGCCTGCCACCACACCAGGCTAATTTTTGTATTTTCAGTAGAGATAGGGTTTCACCATGTTGGCCAGGCTGGTCTCAAACTCCTTGCCTCAAGTGATCCACCAGCCTCAGCCTCCCAAAGTGTTGGGATTACAGGTGTGAGCCATGGCACCATTAGGGCTACCATTTTAATATTTTTTGTTTGTTCCCCCAGGTGGCTTTGCTGTTGTTGTTGTTCTTGTTCTTCGGCTTGTTTTTCCCACTCTTGTTCTCTTCCTAATTTAACTTTTCCTCCTTTTCTTTTTCTTTCTGTGTTTCCACGTTTCTCCCTTTTTTTGGTATTATTTGAGTATTTTAGCATGTCATTTATTTTCTCTATTATATTTTATATATATACACATATATATGTGTATATATATATATATATTTCTTACTATATATTTTTTGTGGTTTCCTCAGCATGAGTTTCTATGAGTTTGTTGTGTTTGAGGTGTTACATTCTAGAATATGCATTTTTAAAAGTATTTCCCCAAATTTGAAAAAATTTCAGGCATTACTTCTTCAAATATGTTTTCAGAACCACTCTTCATCCCCTTCTCCTAGAATGTTAATATTATACTGGACCGAGCATAGAAAATTAACACCAAGACAAAAGTATGCCAGATTGCAGAGTCATTTATTATGCCAGCGACCACAGAGGACTCACGTCTCTCCAACCTGTGGCGTCGAAAGGAGGGTGCCAAGACTTTTTATACCCGAAAAACCACCTTGGGAGTGGGGGTGTGAGGAGCGGGGATGGGGATGAAAAGGCTTCAGACATTCCGAGGGCTAGTGGATTCTGTAAATCACCTCCTGGGCGGAGACGAGGGCTCCGGATATTCCAAGGGTCAGGGGGCTTTTGTCATTCCCTTTGTTACTTAAGTGGTTTACAGAAGTCAAGATAAACATTTGTTTACACATTATTTGGGTAAGGTGGAAATCACAGACCTTAGTTACTTATTACAAGTCGCAGGAGCCAAGATGGCGTGGGTTAGGACTGCTTGCCTGTCACATTAGGGCCACAGAGAGCAGTTACTGATAAGCAAAGTTTAAGCAGCTTTACATAGTAGTTATTTTGCAGAGCAAACTAGCAGTTTTATTTACAGAAGCCAAGGCCAGCAGCTATTGTGAGAAGAATGGGGCAGCCATTACAACTTAATTTTGGAAAACAGCTTTGTCTTGTATAAAATGGCATTGCTCAGGTTCTAACTTTAGGCTAGCTATGTTACAGTAATGACACAACTCCTATACCTTTTTATGTTGTCCCACATGTTGTAAAAACTCTGTTTTTTTTTTTTAATATCTCTTTTTCTCTGTTGTTCAAATTGGATGCTTGCTATTGATTTATCTTCAAGTTCACTGGCTCTTCATTCTGTCATTTATGCTCTGTTGCTGAGAAATTCCAGTGAATTTATGTTTCAGTTATTTTGTTTTACTTCCATTTGCATGTTGACATGTGCTGACTTTACATTCATTTCAAGAATGTCTTATCTTACTTCTTATAATGTGATTAGAGCAGTTAAAGCCTTTGGTGAGAGCAGTTTCATCTCAGAATTGGCTGCTTTTAGTTATCTTTTCCCTTGAAAGTTTATGAAAATTTTCTATTTCATTATATGGCAAATGATTTTGAATTTTATCCTCTGTATTTTGAATACTATGTTATGCTTTGTTATGCTTTTATTCCTAAAGAAAATGTTTGTTGTTGTCTTTTCTGTTTCAGCAGATAATTATCTTATTTAAGAACAGACTAAAATTTCTAATCTGTCTTCTGTGTACTGATATTCTAATTTCAGGGTTTTTTTGTTTTGTTTTGTTTTAATGAGACGGAGTCTTGCTCTGTCTCCCAGGCTGGAGTGCAATGGTGCAACCTCTGCCTCCTGGGTTCAAGTGATTCTCCAGCCTTAGCCTCCCAAGTAGCTGGGATTATAGGCACCTGCCACTGCACCCAGCTAATTTTTCTATTTTTTAGTAGAGACAAGATTTCACCATGTTGGCCAGCCTGGTCTCAAACCCCTGACTTCAAGTGATCCACCCGCCTCAGCCCCTGGGGCCTCCAACCCCTTTGGCTGGGATTACAGGTATGAGCCACCATGCCCAGCTCAATTTCAGTTCATTTTCAATGTGTTTGCAGTGTTCTTTAGTTTTATGTGACAACCAGTGGACAGTCTACAGCCTGGCTGGTGGTCTAGCCCCTAGTTCAATCTGAAAAGCTTTTGATATGATATATATTATCAGATTGATACATGAGCAGTTTGTTAATGAGTACCTGAGTTCAGCCTCAACCTCATGTTATAACTTTGTTGAGGTTTTTCTTTCTGCTCTTCTCCTCAATGCATGCCAGATCTCAATGCCCCTCTTCTGTGGATGTCTGACTACAAACTGGAGTTTTGTTATGTACTTCTAATGGTTTTATCTATCTCTGTTGCCAAGGAATGAGATGATGAGACAGGAAAAAGCAACGAAGAGTCTCTTCACAATTTTTGTATTACATTTTTTCCTGGTCAGAGATAGTTTCCCTTCCTGCGGAATTTAGGGCCTATTCAGTGTCACTGATTTTATCATTGCCACATCTTTTCCTGCCTTGAGATTGCCTGCTTGAGTAGAAAAGATTAGGGGAAACAAAATAAAATAAAACTGCCATTTTCCCCAGTAGCTCTGATCTTTAGTGAGACTCTTGTACACTTCTCAAATAATATAAATGAGAAATCTCTTGGATCTTTTCTGGTCTCAAATGGTGCTCAGTTCTGGGGTTTGAGTTATATTTTTTTCCAGGCCTGGGCACAATAGAGGAAAAAAAGCAAACATAGGAAACTTATCATTGAATCAGCATTACTTTGAGTTCTGGTTTTCTAAATGAACCTGCTTGCTACAATTACTTTTCAGAGTATTTCAATAGCTATTTTCATCAATTTGGTACTTTTTGTTACATTTAGTTGAAGAACAAGGTTGAACAAACATATGTCATTATATCTAAAACAAGGAATTATTTCTCTACTTTTAATGTATCTGCCTTATAGCCCCAGCCAGTTAGAAATGTGCTCCTTAGGCAATAAACAGGATTTCTCTTATACTTTAATTAGTATCTTTTATAGTCTCAGATCATCTAATACTGCATTTTGTTTGAAATCCGTATAGTCATGCATCACTTAACAATGGGGATACATTTAGAGAAATGCATTATTAGGCAACCTCATCATTGTGTGAACATCATAGAGTGTCCTTACACAGAACTAGATGGTATGGCTTGTTATACAGCTAGGTTATAGGATGGGACCTATTGCTCCCAGGCTACAAAACTGTACAGCATGTTACTGAACTGAATAGTGTAAACAATTGTAGCACAAGGGTACGTATTTGTGTATCTAAAGACATTTAAACATAGACAAGGTACGGTAAAAATATGGCATGAAAGATAAAAATGGTACACCTGTATAAAGTGCTTATAATGAATGGAGCCTGCAAGACCAGAAGTTGCTCTGGGTGAATCAGTGAGTGAGTTATGAATGAATATGAAGGTCTAGGATATTACTGTATACTACTGTAGACTTTATTAATGCTATATACCTAGAGAAAGGGGATACATTTCTGGAAACATACAATCTCCTGACATTGAACCAGAAAGAAAAGAAATCCTAAACATACCAATAATAATTAATGAAATTTAATCAGTAATAAAAATCTTCCATTCACAGCTGAGTTTTAGTAGACATACAAAGAAGAACTTGTACCAATCTTACTGAAATTATTCCAAAAATCATGTAGGAGAAATTCCTGCCTAATTCATTCTATAAAATAAATATAACCCTGGTAACAGGCAAGGACACCAACAAAAAAAGAAAACTACAGGCCAACATCTCTGATGAACATAGATATAAAAATTCTCAACAAAGTACCAGCAAATATAATTCAATGGAACATCAAAAAGATAGTTTATCACATAAAGTAGGTTTTATTCCAGGGTCGCAATAATGGTTCAATATTCACAAATCTATAAATGTGACTCAACACATAAGCAGAGTTAGAAACAAAAACCATATGATCATCTGAAGAGATGCAGAAAAAGCTTTTGATAAAATCCAATATTCCTTAATGATAAAAACCTTAAACAAACTAGGCATTGAAGGAACATATCTCAAAAGAATAAAAGCCACATATGGCAAATCCAGAACCAACATCAAACTTAATAGGGGAAAGCTGAGAGCATTCCCTGTAAGAACTAGAAAAAGACAAGGATGCCTACTCTCACCACTTCTATTCAATGTAGTGCTGAAAGTCCTAGCCAGATAAATCAGGAAAAATAGTAAAGAAATGCAAATTGAAAAATTTGGATAAAGCAACTCTCTTTGTCCAAAGATTTATCTAATTTCTGGAGGGGCCTGACAGCTTGATGCTGTCAGCCCGCTTCATTTTTCCTAGCTAAAGATGTAAGTCCTTCCTTCATGAAAGGAGATCCGGGCAGAACATCACAATGCTACAATATGCATTGATTTAAACACTTCTACTTACTCCTCAGGTCTTAATTTAAATGTGATTTCTTTCTGGAAACATACTAGATAGTGAGGAATACGTATGTTCCTCGAACAACAGCACACCATTGTTCTCTTTAGTAACGCTTTGTGGCGTTATCTTTAATTTTGCAATATCTCCTACTGAGGGAATGTATTCTCTTCCCTGGTCCACAGGGGACGTGGTTTCAAAGGCAAGAACTTCCCAGCGACATGCCCAGTCTGCATTCTTTGACGTCTCCATCCAGGAGCTTAGAAGTCTTTGTTTAACTTTTGCAGGCATGGGAAGATAGACTGCCCAGGTGAGCTCCCTTTGCTTAGAAAAGCCCTTGAAAAGCTATGGGAGGACTGTGGGCCAAGAAACAAATCAAATGTCAGAATCAAAGATCAATCACTCCAGCGGAAGCTTATAGGAACTCCTTTCATAGGACAGAAAACTTGAATGGGGGGGAAGAACTCTCAGGTTAAAAGTCGCCTTCACCCACATCTGTGCGTACTCCATCTCTGAATCCCCTCCCACCACAGCTTGGGAGCTTGCTGTATCTCTTTTTCTCTCTCTCTGCCTAAATAAATGACTTTCTGCAAAACTCTTTGGGGTCTGATATTTACTTAAACGAGCTCACCGTGCCCAGCGGGGGTCCTCTTCCCCATTATTGGGTGAGTGAGGGACCAAAGGCCTGGAAGAACACATCCTATCCGGGAGCATCCTGAGCCCATTGTCTGCAATTTGGTCACACTATCACCATTGGCCTGAGTTCAATAAGGGCAGCAATTATAACCATCTTATTCAACCATTGTGTCCCCAGCAACCAGAAAAGTATCAAAATGTAAGAGATGCTTAATAAGTATACTTAGAAAAAAAATCCTCAAGCACGTTGTTTTCTACAATAAGTAGCAAATAAATTGGTGATACATTCAGTAATTATTGAATATAAATTTGCCTTGGAGCATACTTAGACAAAAAAGAGAGCCTTGATGTACTTCCTGGGTTTCTGGGGAATTGTGGCATATATAACTAATTACTATTTCTAATAATAGATTTTATAAAACTTTTAAAAGAGCAATCATGAAGTTATGTTGTGACAATTCTTATCCTTATTCATTGGTTAAAACTATTATCTGTATGTATGGAACAGTTTAAAGATAAATTCTTTATTGTAATCTACAGGACCTTTTAATGGGCTAATCTGCTCCAAAGAAACACAGTTATGGCCATGAATGAAAACTCAGCTCCTTTACTAATTGATTAAATGTTTTGCATGACTTTTCCTAGTTGGTCCAGGTTTAAAATCTTCCCTTTGCAATTAGGAGTGCAAAAGTGAATTTCTACTTATTTAGTAGGCAATAGGTTGTATTATCTTACTTGTCGACTCTGATCAATTTGCCTCTTGACTAAGATATCAATTTTCCTTCATCTCCTTCTGTATGTTCACCTGACCAACATAACATTGGCGTTTAACCAGAGCATTTGCTACTGGGAATCTATTTTAGACATTCTGCATTGCAAGTTTCCAGTGTAGGTGAAAATCAACTAAACATATTGGATAAACTCTACCTAAAATATAATATGTTGAACAGATTTCATAACTTGTATGTGCCTTTAAAAAATAAAATCATATTCATTCTTTCTTGGCTGTAGAAAAACCCATAGAGTTCAGAGTTATTAAGCTATTATTTTGTGTCCTTGTTAATTAATCATCCTCTAATATTATCCTGCATGTAATTTGATGAAATAGAGCAAATAAATTATTTCCATTAAAAATAACATAAGTTCCTTTCTCCATTACCTCACTTATTATTGCTTTTGACAGATAAAATTAAGTAATTCAGTCATCAATTATAAGAGAATATAATCATAAAGTCTAAAAATTCTGAATGACACCCACAAGGGAAAACTCTCAATAAAGACCTAAAGTGAAATGTATGAGTTTTCTGTAAGAATGTTATGATTATTTCTGTCTAAATTGAAAAAAATATATAATTAGTCTACTTTGTTTTTAAATTGGAGTGGAAACTCTCTCTGCAGAGACATAGACCACAGGCCCATATTTAGGGTCAGAAAAAAGATAAGGAAGAACAGGGACATGTCACATTCTACCGAATATACAGTTGGATTCACATGCCAGTATAACTCTTTCTTCTAATTTTTGGGATAATATTATCCTAACTTGGATGAACTCTACTGCATCAATAGTAATGCTGTTGTTAATAGTTTACAGTTAATAGGGTGAACATGACACTTCCAGTGATAAAAGTGACAATATTAAATTTAAGTCTCAGCCTTCTCCCAGTAATAAATTAGAATCACAATTGTCACTTTCTTTATTCCCTCACAGTTACTCATTTTTTTCTCAATCCAATTCCAAATTGATTTCCAGATTACCTTTCTACATTCCCTAGACCTTTAGAGAACAATAAGGCAATTACAAATTACTATTTTGAGACTGCCATTTGGTTTAATTATGTATTGTTATTGTGCCTCTTGATGTTCTTAATGCATTTATGATAATTGGGTTATGGATACTACCAAAATGTATATGATGTATAAATCAGATTTTAATGTAATAAAGTCTGCTTTCTTATGCCCTAGGATTTTTAAAAATATATATGATAAAATAGGCAAGTATGGCAATATATTTGTATGGAAGAAACAAAATAGCAGCAACAATTCTGCTTTATACTTAATGACTGAGTTCACTTTTAATTAATATTTTTAACATATTGTTAGGCACTTGATTCAAATTAGATGCAGCTTTTTTTATCTTTTATTCAAGTGTTTGCAAGGGATATGGTTTAGCTCTGTGACCCCACCCAAATCTCATGTTGAATTGTAATTCCATTGTTGAGGGAGGGACTTGGTCGGAGGTGATTGGATCATGGGGGTGGATTTCATCCTTGATGTCTTTATGATAGTGAATAAGCTCTCACAATATCCAGTTGTTTAGTGTAGCACTCCCTCCTTCTCTCTCTCTTGCCACTATGTGAATGCATGATTACTTTTCTTCACCCTTCTGCCATGATTGTAAGCTTCCTGAAGGCCTCCCAGCTTTCTGTACAGCCTGTGGAACTGAGAGTCAATTAAAGCTTTTTTCTTCATAAATTACCATCTCAGGTAGTTTTTGGTAGCATTGTGAGAATGAACTAATACAGCAAGTATTTTAAAAACAATCTTAAAAGAAAATAGATCTACTTTTTAGCTTTCAACAAAGATTTTCCTTGAGAATAAATGCATTTGACAGGAATTTGATGATATAGAATCATATATATCAAATCAATTCAAAATATCAAATAAAACTTGACTTCTGCCTTGAACTCTGATGATCTTCTTATATTTAGTGAATTACTTAGAAATTTTAAGTAATCCAGAAATATCAACAGTATAACTTATGTAGACTAATTTTGTTCAACTTTGGCTCAGAAAACATAATAATGCATTCATAGATATTAGTAATAGTGATATAGTTTTAAAAAGTGCTCAGTAGCAAATGGAATTTTTCTCATTAACTACATTTGATGTGTGGACTTAGGGTATATTTTAATAACTGATATTCTCTCATAAGAGTACAATCACACATTAGCCATGTTCACAATGCTAGATGTTCTGCTAGGGCTTTCAATAGTGGTGCCTGGGTACAGTCTTTCTTTAATGGATGTCCCAAGTAGCTGGATTTTGTATGTGGTGACTGGTTTTCCAAGGGAGTGTATTACAAGAAAACCAGGCAGAAGATGCATGACATTTTCTGACCTAAGTACAGAATTTCAACATCACTTCAGTGATGTTCTGTTGGTATCAAGAGAGTCACTGTGTTGATCTGGATATCAGAAAGGCAACATAAACACCACCTTTTCATGGGAAGAATGTTGAAGAATGCACAGGCATGCCATGGTGCAGTAGGCTTACTTAATTAAGTATTTTCAGCTGCTTCTGCTTCTTCTTCTTCTTCTTCTTCTTCTTCTTCTTCTTCTTCTTCTTCTTCTTCTTCTTTTCTTCTTCTTCGTCTTCTTCTTCTTCTTTCTTCTCCTTTCTTCTCCTTTCTACTTCTTCTTCTTCTTCTTCTTCTTCTTCTTCTTCTTATTCTTCCTCCTCCTCCTCCTCCTCCTCCTCTTCCTTTTCTTCCTCTTCTTCTATTTTTTTTGAGATGGAGTTTCACTCTTCTTGCCCAGGCTGGAGTGCAATGGCGTGATCTTGGCTCATCACAACCTCCTCCTCCCAGGTTCAAGAGATTCTCCTGCCTCAGCCTCCTGAGTAGCTGGGATTACAGGTGCCTGCCACCATACCTGGCTAATTTTTGTATTATTACTAGTGATGGGGTTTCTCCGTGTTGGTCGGACTGGTCTTGAACTCCTAACCTCAGATGATCCACCTGTCTCAGCCTCCCAGAGTTCTGGGATTACAGGCCGTGAACCACCGCACCTGAGCTGTATTTTCAACCTCTTTTAAGTCAATAAACTCCCTTGATAGTCCTCTTGTGTGTTGCCAAAGCTGAAAGTCTTTGAGTGGCAAGGCAGATCATACTGGGTATAAAACCAGGCTACAGAAAGGGATGAATTTACTTTCTCTTCATTTTAATTTTCTAGGGCACTTGTAAACTAATTATTGTCCTATGTAAAGTCTGTTTTTAAATTTATTTTAGATAATCCAATGATGTAAATAAGCTACTGAATATATCCAGGTTACTTTCCAGTCCCTGGGAGGCTATACTCAAGTAGATATTAGAAATCTTAAGTCACTCTGAAGATCTAGAAGACTAGTGGAGACTATATGAGAAAGAAACAAGATGGCAGGGGAAAACACACAGACTTAACATCTGGATTTGACCAGTTTCCCCGTGAACGAATTCAGTATCTCCCTTTTCCTCAAGGATCAAAAGTAAAGTGAGTTGTGATGAGGAATGACTCTCATACCCTGATATCTACACATTTTTCTCATTTCCTAAGGATACAATAAGGGGAAAAGAGGAGAAAACGCATGAAAAGTCATGTGGTGGTATCTATTTTGTTTCCTAAATTAAATGATCTCTAAAGCATCAGGGTCCTCAAGAGGAGGAGAGGTCAGAGGCTGAGGAAGCCTATTTTATGGAATACATTTCACTTTTATATATTTTCATTATGAAAAAAGACCAATGTTTGTCAAGGGATAATTTTAGGCATAATGTGGGCTACAAGTGTTCTGAAGACTTAGCATTAAACACACAAGAGAGTTGGAAGTATTAAAGCAGCTCATTTATTATTCTTAATAACATTGTTGTCAAAAAAAAGAACTGAAAATAATTTCTGGTAAAAGTCAGAGCTGTGTAACATTTAAGATATAAGCCTGCTTAAATTACCATTAATGACCACCACAATTTTCCTTATTTACTTGTCTGCCCTACCTATTGACAACATTATAATAACAGGAAATCTTTGTTGCATGTCTATTAAATGTTTAACATATATAAAATTATTTATTAATTTGTGTGATTATACTGCAAAGTAGATAAAATTGTCTCCAATTTATCTGAACACCCATCCACCACACACACACATACATGCACACACATAAGCACACATATTTACACAGTTGCAGTAAAGAATGAATAAGTTACCAGATTTGGCATGCATAGTTGGCAGAATGTTCTTTTAGGTAAGATACCTCACCTCTTGCCTCTGTTCTTTTATAGAGAACCAGAGCCAGACATGAGTTAAAGCGGTAAAGACAGGTTTTATTCAGAAACTATTACAATAGGGGAAAAGAGATTTCAGTTTAGAGCTGAGCTCAATTCCAAATGCAACAAGGACAATAAGAAATTTGTAGCCAAGTATTATTAAAAAGTCAAAAGACAGCCGAAGCTGGTAAGGTTGTAAAGAGGAGGGAGTGCTTGTACACTGCTGGGGGAAACATAGATTCGTTCAGCCATTGTCAAAAGCAGTTTGGCAATTTCCAAAAGAACTTAAAATTGTCATTCAACCCAGAAATCACATTATCGGGTATACACCCAAAGGAATATAAATCATTCTACTATAATGACACATCCATGCATGTGTTCATCTTAGCACTGTTCACAATAGCAAAGTCATGGAATCAACCTAAATGCCCATCAGTGGTGGACTGTATAAAGCAAGTGGAATGTATACACACCACAGAATGCTGTGCAACCATGAAAAAGAATGAGATCATGTCCTTTGCAGTAACATGGATGGAACTGGAGGCCATTAGCCTAAGCAAACTAACACAGGAACAGAGGGCCAAATACTGCATGTTCTCACTTATGGGTGGGAGCTAAATTTGGAGTACATATAGGCATAAAGAAGGGAGCAACAGACACTGGGGCCTACTTCAGGGTGGAGGGTGGGAAGAAGGTGAGGATCTATAAACAACATATTAGGTACTATACTTATTACCTGAGTGACAAAATAATCTGTACAGCAAACCCCATGACAGACAATTTACCTATATAGCAAACATGCACATGTACCCTTGAACTTAAAAGTTAAAAATAAAAGGAAATATATAGTCAAAGAGCAGCATAAGGAGGTCAGTGGATGGAAATTACTAAAAAGAGACATCAAGGGCAAGAAGGTTCTTCCTAAATGGACTTAACAGGATTCTTGATAAAGGCAGGCCAGATGATCAGACGATGTGAAGTTTGGTGAATTTTCTCTAAACTGACTTAGCAAGATTCTTGCTAGGACTAGATTTGGCAAGGATGGACATAGAAACCCAAGGTCAAGGCCTTGCTGAGGAGACAACTCAGAGTAGTCTGTCCAAATTTTGGTCAAGAAGAGCGTTTTTGTCACTTTTCTCTGATCCCATCTCAACAGTGACACCCCTGTTTACAACTCTACTTCAGCTTAGTGTTCTGTAAACTTCAGATTCAGGCCATTCTAAACTGCGGTAGGTTAAAGAACACAGTGTATTTTTAATACCAACATGCCTGAGAAAACTGTTCAACATCCCTGTTTCTTGACATTTACCTTTAGCATTATCTTAGGCAGGTTTAGGCAGAATGGGTATCCTACTGGGCAGTATTTAAGAAATACCACATACAGGAAGGGATAATTTTTACAAATGTCATTACATATGTGGGGTCTGAAATTATCATGTCAGAGTCACATCCTTTTGAATTAAGGTTGTTATTTTTAAAACATGCTACTTTATTTTCTCTGCCAACAGTCCCACCAACCACCACCAACACACACACACACACTCTCTCTCTCTCTCTCAACATTTTAATGGAAAATACTAAATACATGTGTTTTACTCATTTGTACTTCTATGTAACTACTTTGAGCAAAGGATTCCATACCTAAAAATATAAATAAAAAAGTCGAAGTCATATAAACCACTAGGTAAAAAAGGAGAATCTCCTGAAAGCCATCTTGACATCCATTAAAATGGGACTGTTGGGGCTACCTAACAATAATCTTGCTGTAGATGTGTATAGAACTTTGTAAGTTTGAAAGGGTCACATAGTTGAGACAGTGCCAACAAAGAGCAAGAAAATGAGGTATGGAAATAACCAGGGGCAATAATGTCCCCTTAGGTAGTATTTGAAAATGCATGGGGGAGTTTTGGTTTGCTGCTATAGACATTTAAAGTCTCAGAGAAGAGATACTAAGCCTCCTGCCATACTCAGGGCTCCACAGCCCTAACAACATATTATAACTCCTGTAGGGCTAAAAACAAAATTAGCTGATATTAATGAAATAGAAGACATGATGATGAAGGGATACCTGCTAAATGCCTTTTAAATTTTATCTCTCTTGAAAGTCATACAATTTGCTGGACCTCAAGTAAAATGACTTCAATTTTCACTAATGCTTTTAAAAAAAAATGGATGAGCATATTTTCTATAAACCACAGCATCCGCTAAAGTCATATTAGCAATTTTTTTCTTATTTCCTCATATAACCTATAGGAGACTCATTCCCATCATAAATCACAAGGTGAAACTATTGCTTCACCACTGCATTCTCTAATGTAACCAACATTTTTGTTTTCCTTTTTGAAATCATGAGTTTTACAGATTACTTCAATTTTTAAACACTAGCATCATTAACAATAGTTAATATCTTTAATTTTTAATCTAGTTTTCAAAATTACTAACTGCTTTTATAATTGCATATGGGATGAATGAAAGAGAACAATATTTTTCTGGATATGCTAAAAGGGAGGCCAGGGACAATTACTTGTTATGTCTCCCCCAGTTCGTGCAATTCAAATGTGTGCCTCTGTGACATTACAGATTACAGATGAGTGCAACATTGGTCCTTCTTACAAATACTTGTGATTACACAAGCCACATCTGCCAGTGCCATGTTGCAAGGGTATATACTTGAAAAGTCATTTGAAAGCTGCCATTTAAAAATATTTATCTAACAAAGGAAATATTGATCATTATATTATTATGTAATTGGATATGAACATGATAGAGGCAAAACTATAATAACTAATACACGGGTAGTTGGCTGGATGACAATATTTACACAGAACCTGAACTTAAGATTATAGTCCAGATGTATATTTGTAACACATCTGTTTTTCTGGTCTGGGTTCCTCATTTCCACTCTCTTCCTCTAAAAGGGAGGGTATTTCAGAGGTGTCTGATATTTGGCATCCTCCTCCCCTCCCAACACTACCTTCCCTGACTCACATGGCTCTACTGCAGTCTCAATGGGTTTCTGGATGATTCCTTTGGCTGCTCACATTTTCATCTTTCTCAAGGCTAATTCTGCCACTGCTCAGGCTTTCTTCTCCTGGGACAGGGGCCCAGGGTTCCAGTGGAGCTGGCAAATACGTATCATCACAGAGGTGATGGGGTGGGACACTACTGCACAGTTAGGTAGTGACTCCCCACAAGTAGTGAAGACTCCATTGACAAGCAGCAGATACTCTTGTGTGCTGAGAGTAGACAACCAACACATCAGGCCTGGGACTAAATCTTCCCATCAATGAGTCTCTCTTATATCAAGAGAGCAGTCCTTGGACCTTCTTCCTTCACAGAGGATCTCTCTTCCTCATTCACTCATGGTTGCAGTTCCAGGCCCCAGACTCCTATCTGCTCTGTTCTCTCCTGGAAATTAGTCTAAGCTCTCCCCATTTATAATTAAAGTATTCTCCCAAGTTCATTTAAAGTACTTGATTGAAGTTTGAAGTGACAAAAGTTTAATAAATGAGGCTATTATTTTTATTATCCATGCATAGAGACAGTCATCAATAATATTTTTCTCAATTCAATGGGTAGCCTTCATGTTCTTGAATTTTCTTTAAAAAATAGAAAAATGAATTAAAGAACAATCTGCATAGCACGCTGTAGCCATAAATATTTTCTCAGAAGATCTCAAACTTTGTTCCTATGCCTCAACTTTAGAAATGCTAAAGAGTGGGTCATAGTTTTCAAAACACAGTTTGTCTTTAAAATTATACCAGCTATTCAACTTCTGCTATAAATAACATAAAGCTTCTTTGTTAGCATGTTAATTTTTAAAACTATTAATAAAGAAGTCATATTATTTCATTAACTGATTATAGAGATGTTCTTGTAGAAACACTAATTTACCAACTATCAACCCCGCGGGTATTTAAATCAAGTTCTGATGTCTGTAAATCTTATTTCACTAATATGTATGTTCCATATCTACAACCTTTAAACTCCTAAATTTTTGTAGTTAACATTTTATTTTTTATTTTCACTTCTTGGATATCTTGAATATTTTTCTGTTGGATTTTAAAAAGTTTGAAAAATCAAAGATAATGAAGTTGGTACAGAGACAGGGAACTCCTTATACTCTGATTTATGAAAACATTCTAGCAAAATACTGGATAGCATTGGGTTATCCCTAGGTCACAGGCTTAATTATTAATAATTAGGTAATTAGAAAACAAAGAATAAATAATACAATACCACAATATATCCTGATTGATTCCCCATTACAACTTCAGTGACAGTAATTCATTTATTCATTTATATTTTATGTAACTTACATTTATCTTTTATATTTTAAAAATGTATGTAAGGCTTTTTTAAAAGATCAATTACTTTTAAACTCATAACTGAAAAACTTCAGTAGATAGAGCTTTTTGAGACTAGGTACTCTGTCTTATTCATCTCTCATTTATTAGATCACTTACTGGTAATAAAATGTTGAAACAATAACTACAATGATAGCGATGACTATAGTTATCTTGGCTAGTCTTCATAAAGCATTTTCCACATGTTGAACATTGATTTGATGGCTTTACAGGGGTTACCAACTTCACTTAACAGATGAGGAAACTGAGGTACAGAAAGGTTATGTAAATGTCCTGAAGTCAAGCACCTAGGTAGAGCTACGATTCCAGTCTAGACCACCCATATCCACAGTCCATGCTATCAAACCCTTTTCCACAATACTCAATACACATTTTCTGAGAAGATCAGTGAGTCCCCACTGAATCTCCCTTGTGTCTTCTTCCATGTTTTACTGTTTGGGCTTTTTTTGGAGACTGTACTTTACGTCCAACCTGCATCTTCCTGGTCAGTTTGGATTTCAAATTCCTCACTTACAACCTCTTGTGCAGTGTGTTCCTCCCCTGCTTTATTCTACCAGGAAATTCCTCAACTTCTTTCACAGTTTTCATTTTAAATGTAGTCAACCTTGGCATGAAGATGGTCACTGGAATCTTAAATGTAACACAATTCATTTCAGATCATAGCAGTTCATCTTCAGACCAAATAATTCTTAATCAGCCTGTAAAGTTGTCATCTCAGTTATCAAGTATAAAGCTAAAGAAGCAAGAAGAAATATCACAATGGAATGTAGTGTAAACTAAACAGAAGGCTTTAAGTAGTTGTTGTGACCAGTCATTTCACGTTTAAATGTATTTACAAATAACTACATTTTCAGTTGGGTCATTGAGTTCTTCTAACTTTTTATATGGATGTCATTGTTTTCTTGTACACTGTAAATGTCAGGTGTGTTTGGAAAAAAAACCCAAATATTTTATCACTCTGGGAATAATGACACATTTCAGAAATTTAAAAAATATCTCCTGATTATTATTCTTTAAACATTTCACAAATTATTAAGTATCAGGCTCAAAGCTGCATACCTGCATTAATGTTTAACCTTAGGATTTTTGCAGCAGGATGTAAACCAAGAGAATGGGGAAATAATCAAATTTAATGGATTGATATTTACGTTTTGTTCCACAAATCCTGAGTCATGTACCACATACTTCCTACCTGACAGCAATCCAAATATTTTTCAAAATTTCAGATTAGAGAATTTCTTCTTTTTGACATTGATAGAACTTTGATCAATGTAAAATTTAAACCTGAAATAGACACTAGTAAATACAAAGCAACATTAGAAATGCAAGTGAGTTCTATAGAAGTAATAGTCAAGGATGTCTGACGTCACTAAATGCAATAAATTAAATAGGAAGAAAAGGTTTTACTCAAAGATCACTGATAAAGAAAAACAATATTACTTTGCAAAAGTCAGCGTATTACACTGTTCTGTCTTGTATTTTTCTTTTGTCGAGGAAATATGTTTTAACTATAAAATATGAAAGTCTGGGCCAGACACAGTAGCGGCTGGTGGCAGGTGGATCAGTCAAGGTTAGGAGTTCAAGACCAGTCTGGACAACATGGTGAAATCCCATCTCTACTAAAAATACAAAAATTATCTGGCCATGGTGGCAGGCACATGTATTCCCAGCGACTAGGGAGACTTAGGCAGGAGAATCACTTGTCCCTGGGAAACAGAGGTTGCACTGAGCTGAGATTGTGCCATTGCATTCCAGCCTGGGCAACAGAGCGAGAGTCCATCTCAATAATAATAATAATAATAATAATAATAATAATAATAATAATAAAAGTCTGTTAACACAGTGAAAAATTTGAAAATCATAAAGTGAATTTGATATTAATATAGTATTTTCTGTAATAAATCTTTCAAGGACTTTATAAAAGTTTATAAACAAAAAAATTCTGAAGTGTTGAAGAGAATAAGAAAATATTATTTTGATTTGAAACATTAAAATATAAAATGAACCATTGATAATGGAAATGTATCTTGAAATAATTTTATTAACTGCAAAGGTATTTACAACTTTCTCAAATAGGTAAAATTTCTCTAGAAAGTGTCATGCAGAGTTTTTACTAGATCATTTAAGCTAAAGACAACTTTATAATTATTTCTGAACAAATGCCTGTTACTGCTGCCTGTTTTCAGTAGCACAGGTATGAAGGAAATGTTGTCTTGTTATAACATACAATCCTTAGTGTCAAAGTGATTTCTAAACTTTTAAGTCAGATACTGTTTAGACAATACCATGGACAGAAAAAAATGTATTGTTATTTAAATGAACAGAGAAAAGGAAAAATGTTGAGTATTGCTTGAAAAAATTATTTCTATTTTTAATCTTTCTATTTTACCCCCTGCTAACAGATTGTGATTCATATATTACATAACACTGCTCAAGTTGATTTGCAGTTTGGGCTTATTTGTTCATTCTTTTCTTTTATTAATGCAACATACAATTATTTAGCACACTAGTTCAATTTTCATTCTGGGCAGTACAAACCTGAATGAAACAATAAAAACAGAAGTGTAAAGGTTCTGGAGCCTTTGCTTATATTGATACTTAATTTAAAGTGATCAGGTGGTATGTACTTCTAAAATAAATTGCTTTCTTTTTAAATAAACAGCTACATATCACTAAAATGCAAGTGACAATAGTCATTACACTAAAAGAAACACCAGAAAGTGCCAAATATTTACATAAAATATTTACATCAAAATTATTTAGTTGCACAAATATCAGAGCTACTGAATATTCTTCATTTTAACTCGGTGGTGTGTAACTCTGTTTAATCCCTAAAATTTCCACCAGAATTTTTAGTTAATGTTTTTCTCACAGTTCATATTTCTCAATTATGAAAAAAAAAGTCAGACTTGCAAAATAGAGAAACACTTTGTTCTCTACTCTCCCCAAACATATTCTTTCTCTCTTTTTCCCCTTGTCACATAAATAATGTTACATGCATCCTCTACTGCACAAGAGAGCATTCGTATGCTGATATCACCCTATTACTGCATATTACTGAGTCTATATCCTACATGTCTTTTATGTTCTCATCTCTCAACTCTCACTTGTTTAATGCTATTACAATTAAATTTGGGTTCACATAATGTTTCCTGATTTATTGCAACAGCCCTAAACTGGTATACTAGATTCTGATTTCTCTCCACTACCCATGCAACATTTATACCAACACCAGAATTGATTTCCTAGTATAGGTATAATCACAATACTTCCGCTTGAAAATCTTCAATGCCATGTCTCTTGTCAATAGTATTTTCACACTTAATAGACTACTCAAATGATTCTATGTTCCTGTGAAGAAATCATTGTTTAATTCAGATTTGTACTGCCCAGAATGAAAATTGAACTAGTGTGCTAAATAATTGTATGTTGAATTAGTAAAAGAAAGGAATGAACAAATAAACCAAAACTGAAAATCAACTTGAGCAGTGTTATATAATGTATGAATCACAATCTGTTAGCAGGGGATAAAATCAATTTAGATATTTCCAACTTTTTCTAATTAAGCAAAATACATTAGAAAATAGCAGAGAGAATCACACTTAGTGAGGAAACATATTGTTCTACAAAATTTGGATTTGGTTTTAAGTGTGTGTGTGTGTGTGTGTGTGTGTGTACTAGGTTAAGACAAATTATATTCTTAAATTAGGTCACAATAAAATTGGGCCTGACAGTATAAGGTACTCCAAAGACCCCACTGCCATCTCAAGTAATGAAAATTACTTTAAAAGGAGCCATTTAAATTCTCTGAAAATGTTTTTAATGGTATACTGCAAATTAAAAAAAAAATTATTGAATAAAATCTACTAAAACATGGTAAGAATCATGAAAGTTTAATTTTTGAACCAACATCCATGGTTCTCTATCACCTGCATAAGCTAAGTGAGGTGGACATTCTGCTGCAAACTAATAGCAGAAATAAATAAGAACTCCCTCTCTCCACAGCTCCTAGTTATAAGGCTGTCTTCTCAAGAGGGGCAGTATGTCAACAATTCTCATCCAATAGGTGGGGGTCTTCTTTTTCTCAGAACCCACTCATGGAACAGAAGAAAGCCCTTTACCTCTTGGCCTCATATACACAGGTCATCGCCTCAGCAACAGGTAGCTGAGGTAGGATGTACCTCTGAGAATACAGGGGACTTGATTGCCCTCGCCCCAACTTAAAGACTAGGGGAGCTATGCCAAGAGAATCAAGTCAATGAAATTTGGGGGTTCTGCTACAACATCTGCTTAGCCTTCGGCAACTAAAGAGGAGGTTCACTCTAAGTGAAATGCATCAATATTTCTTCCCCCAGAAGTAGAACTTTGGCACAGAAATATTTCCTTAGGATGAGAGGAGGAGGGCAGCAAGACTTAGAAAAGAAACCTCTAAATTCTTTCTCTAAGGAATTCACTTTAATTGAACAGATTCTGAAGACGTTCATGCCTCAAAATAATGTAGAAGTTGTAATGAAAGGCAATTGGGAGAGAAAATTGATAGATTCATTGGCGATACAGGCTAAACTATAGTCTGTTTAGTATTCTGGAGAGAAACCTGGAATGAGACACCTGGGACAAGTCCTCTTGTGGTCAGAATCTTTCTTAAAATCTGACTTCTAGAACAATCTTTTGAAAGGAGTGAATATTTGACTGTGTTCTCTGAAGCAAGTAAGACCCTCAGGGCATTGTTGAAAACAATAAAGCAATGGGGCAGCAATTAGTGGTGCTTAACAGCTGGTTTTGGTTAAGAGAACGAGAAAGAGCCAATTAAAGATAGCCATGTCAGAAGGACTCTTATCCCACTGATGCCTATGAATTTACCCAAGGCTATGCACCCTGTGTAGCAACAGCAGACTTCACAATGAGGCAAAGCAGGGAGTTGACTTGTACCCTTCCTAAAATGCCCCGAGGGTGTGGGCCAGATATCAGTATTCAGAGTTGCTACAACATATTATCTGAAATGTCTGGTTTCCAACAAAACATTATTAGCCATGCAAAGAAACTGGAAAATACTATCCCTATACTGGGAAAAAAACAGCTGAAGAAACTACCTATGAGAACAACCAGATATTAAATTTTAGATAAGAACTTCAAATTATCCATTACATGATTATAGAACTAAGGGGAATTATGATTATAAAAATAAAGCTTACTTGTATAATAAACACGGTGCAACAGACAGAGAAAATCAATAAGAGACATAAAAGAAATAACCAGATGGAAATTCTAGGGTTGAAGAGTATAGTATGAAAAATTTACTGGAAGGTCTAGAAGATGACAAGACAGCAGAGTAGGACTTCACAGAAACATCAATTTGAACGACTGTCCACACACAAAACACATTCACAGGAGCTAAGGAAACTGGGTGAGAGATTGTAACATCTGAGTATAACACAGAAATAAATAAAGATGCACTGAAGAGGGTAGGAAAGATCCGTATCATCACATTGCCTCTACCTCAACATCAGGCAACACAGCTTAAAGAGAGGTATCATTCCCTTGGTGGAAGGAAAAATACCTGAGCAATAAATTTTGCCTCAGACCACAACATCAAGCATATCACTATGCCTTAAACTCCATGCCAATACCCAATGATAAAATCTCCAGGCCTGCCCTTATGCCAGGCTTGATATTGCAGCAGCAGGCTCCAGGCTCAACCTTGAAGTCCATCTGCAGGCTGCCCCATGCCAGCCCAATTCCAAAAACCACAGGCTCTGAAATGGTCTCAGTGATGGACTTTGTCAGGCCTCCAAGTCCAAGCCTGGCCATTTTAGCCTTGGTGACCAGCATGTACACCTCTGGATGGTCCCTGGGAGCCAGAAAGTCTGAAGTAACCACAGGTAAACCAGGTGGCCACAGAAAAAAGTGAAACAGCTTGTTCCTGCCTCAACTAATTTCTCTCCCCCTGTAACCTGCAACAATTGTTCCTGCTCAGCCTTGTGAACATTTACCCTTGGACATTGGGTTTCTCAAGACCTCCACCCCTGTAACTATGTAATTTACCTCACCCTCCCCTCTGCTTGCAACCGATAGCCCCCACCCTTATGATAATTCCTGTTTGTAATAAATGACCCCTATCCTTGTGATCATGCATCCCGTGACGCCCTTCCCCTCTCCAAGATCGATTACCACCTTTAACTGATCATTTGCCCCAACCTATGTAACCAGTCCCCTTTCCTACCCCTTTTGCCTAACTCCTTTCTCAGACTTGGCCCACTTGCACCCAAGTGCGGAAATAAACGGCCTTGTTGCCCACACAAAGCCTGTCTGATGGTCTCTTTATGTGAGCGACATGCCTGACAGACTAGGTGCAGAAGCCTCACGTGTCAGATTTGTCAGGCACTAGACCAACTCTTACTGACTCAGGCTGCAGGTACACCCAGAAGACTCAGTCACCAGTTTCACCTGAGGGCTAGGGTAGCCCTAGGCTCTTGACTGCCCCCAGTACCAGGCTGACCCCTTGACCCCAAGCTTAAGGACTACACCAGATTCAAGTCTACTCCCAAACTCCTAGTCATCAGGACAGCACCAGTGGACTTAGTTTCTAAGCTTGCCTCTGCAGATACAGGAAGGTTGATCTGGCTAGGAGAATTTATATATCTATATTGACCTGATACCTCATACCTCAT